GACATTGGGCAGGATGTGGAAGTGTTTTTTGTCAAAAAAAGAAAGAAATGAGAAGATCCGATTAATCGAAAAAATAATCGGTCAACTAATCGATTATCAAAATAATCGTTAGTTGCAGCCCTAGTAATCATACTGTTGTTGCATCAAAATGTGAATTAAACAGGCAGGAGACAACAGAAACATTTATTTTCTAAAAATAACTCACATCAATCTCAAAAGAATGATGCTCTCCTATGTCTCTGGCTTTCAACATCTACAAAAACAAACATTCTTTTACTCTTAGTAAAAAAAAATTTATAACATGATGGAATTCTGAAGTTTACTTGCCTTAAACCATCTTTCCCTCTCTTCTGAAGAAGCTGAGAAAATCGCCTCCTCACACAAGCAGGGTTCTATGTTGTTAACTCCCGGCGCGGGCACAATAAAGACACAAATCTCAACAAGTCTGAAATATAACATGCAAAACATTACTTTTAACAATTATCACTTCATCAGCCTCAAAATAATTAGGCTAGTCTTTATTACATAACGCCGTTTCCTTCAAGAAACTACATTCAATTTAACCGCGAAAAAGAAGTTAACAAACATGTAAATAAGTTAATAACCCTCTCTTAACACCTCAAAAAATGTAAATATTGTAAAATCTTATGTAAATATGACATAAGACACTCACTGACGTTATATTAAAAGCACCTTTTACGTTCAGTAAGACATTTTCTGAGGCGAAATCCACGTCCGCATATTTTTCAATATAAGCTATTTTCTGAATATTTCCGCCTTCCATGAAATCTCAAAATACTACCGGACTCAAACAATGAATGATGACTTTACATTTTTAATCTTTACTTACCATAAACCGTCTTTCACTCGCACTCGCTTCCATCTGAAGACGCTGAGAAAATGGCGGCTTCTCGCACTGGTGTCGTCCGATGTTAACGTGACGTGCGGTCTCTTTCACGTCTGCGTTCCAAACCCAGCACCGCTGGGTTATAGATCAAGACCAATTTTCAACCCAAATTAGGTTAAAACAACCCAACGTCCTTACTCAGCGGTCTCAACCCAGCATTTGGGTTGAAAAAAACAACCCAGCATTTTTTTAGAGTGTAGTAATCGTACACCTTTCCTCAGCATTTGAGGTATAATTCATGTTTGTAGCACAAACAGGGTAGGAAAAGATAAATTTCTTCCAATCCGTAACCCTATGAGCAATCGAAATAGTGATTCATGGCTAAGCAATCGCCTCTAATGAGTTGGTCTTACTCTTCAGTCATGAGAAGGAGAAAGAAAACCATATTCTTTAGATGCTATGTAGGTATTTTAACGACTCTTCTCTGTTCCCAACCCTTGCCAAGGGGGCTTAACCATCTAAACCGAGCAGTTGTTCTGCATTGAAAAGAAACATAGGAATAGGTGGTCATTCTGTTCTGCTCCTAAGGTGTAGCCATCTACACATTATTTTCCAGATTGGTTGGGTGCTGGTGCAGAGGGTTGGTGGAGGAGGAGCAGCCCAGTGCACCGTCTGTCTCTGGGTCTTGGGAAAGAGGGGATTTGCCCCTGAAATCATGAGGCCTCATGGGTGGAACAACCTCAATGTAGGAGCAGCCCAGTGCACCGTCTGTCTCTGGGTCTTGGGAAAGAGGGGATCTGCCCCTGAAATCATGAGGCCTCATGGGTGGAACAACCTCAATGTTTCTCTGCAGGACCAACCTACCTCCCTTTCTTTTGCTCTTTCTCCGCCTTCAGCACTGTGCAGAGCTCACGTTTAGGGTAAACACTTCTTAGAAAATCTCCCCAAGGGTTACCTCATTCCATGAATACCCCTCTTCGAGTTCTGGAAAGGGTGAAGGGGGACACTAGTGAGCCGTGTAATTGTTGGTTCAAATCCCTTTCTACTCGGAGAACAAAGTTGGAAAAAAGGTCATGCCCCCAAACAGGACACTCGGCTGAGCGAGGGGAAATCCCTCTGAAGAGGCTTCCTCTTGCTCACTAACTTGGAATTGATGAGTTGTGATAGATTTGACAGCTAGTGAGTTGTGGGTGCCCTTATATTCAGAACTGGATGCACCTTGTGCGACCCTAATAGCTATTTAAGTAAACAAATCTAATGTCAGATTAGTTTTTATTTTGTATAGGTGCCAATGGCTATTAACCTAGAAGCCACTCTGACCTGTCACCTGTCAGCACTGTGTCCAAATTAACTCATTTGTCTAATGGAAAAAGGAGTGGCTTCTCTCCTCGGTGTGAAGGTTTGCATTAAGCCCCTCTGTTTTCTTTCAGCAGTGGCCTCTTTGGTGTTAGATTTTATGCTAAGTCGAGGTTCAATTCGGGGTGACGTGCCTTGCTGAAATGGGAGGAGAAAACTCTCAGGCTTTTCATCTCCAAGTCAGCTGTGTAAACTTCTAGTATCAAACTAACGTCTGCAGTCATGAGAGCCAGATGTTACATCCAAGAGGGATTACATTATTTTCATGTTTATTTCTCCGTTCTGGGTGAAAGAGCTTTTGGAAACTGCCATTTCAAGATCTCTCAAATGTCAAGCTAAAGGGATATTTTATTGCAAAGAAGTGAAATTTGTTATCATTTATTATTCCCATGTTGTTCCATAACTGTTTGACTTTTTTTTCTCCTGTGAAACATGACAGGATAATTTTTTAAGACTGCACTGGTCACTCTTTTCTATACAAATATAATAAATGGGGACTGGAGCTTTAACACTCAACAAGAACTGAAAAACGGCGAAGTAGTAGTCTATATGAATTGTTCATTATATTCAGTTTGTTCATGAATCAGATAGCTAAAATTCATCCATTTTTTGTGTTCTAGGGAAGAAACCTTTATCCTGTTGCGTTCACACCAAAGTTCCTACTATTCTGATGTTTGTTTCACCAGCGGACTGCTGTGAGGAACAACAAATCTGCTGTATGGGTCATTTCCAAGACTGCAAGATGACAAGAGACAAAAATAGACATGTCTACTGTCTGTTACTCACGAGACAGACATATGGCATTACTACACATGTCTACATTGTACGTTTACACTAACCAGCATATAGTATCCTTCCTATAACTAACCTAAATGATTATGAGGCAAACCCCATTTCAAACCACGGCCCAGCTCATGTGCATTTTACAGTAACAAACTCTCCATTATATGACCATAATGTAAATGAACGTCAACAAGATAATATAATCACCAAATATCTGTATCAGTCTCTGTATTGCTTGACTGCCTCACAAGACAAAGATTGACTAGACTGGGATTATTGTGTAAAACAAGCATGGGCAGTCAGTATTTGTTTCGCCTAAGCCAAATGATGTTGTCAGCTACGCAGCTCTAGCTAAATTAAGCTTTGTCGTTAGGTTACAGAAGCTTAATCATTCTCAACATGGCATGTCAGAGTCTCATAAATATTACAGAACTGTACTCTAATTGAGGTATGATACCTTGAAACATTGTATATGCCATAGGCAAATCATCAATTAAGATGTTTCCAGTGGAGCCAAGGATCCTATTTGCTAAATGGAGGAGGCGAATGTGGGTCAGTGTGTTGAGTATGTAAACCACATAGCTCAGTTCGAATTCAGGGTGATTTGTCTCAGTGCCACTCGGTAGATTACGCTGCATGTTAACAGAACAAATATGAAATGCAGTCTTGTGCTTTATTTCACCCACACAATCTTGTTTACATGCACCATTTTATTTTTGCCGCTTTTTACGTCCCACAGTTGTCAACAAAGACATGACCTGAAATCGAACTTTAAGGGAACAGATTGCGACTGCAACAAACCCAAGTAATTGTGGGTCCGCTGGAAAGCCCGAAAACACAAAACAAATATGGCTGCTGTCAAGATGGATGCAGGAGGGTTATTGTCTAGTTCTTAACAGAACATTTGGGTGGAGAAGACACTGAAGTAAATTGTTGTTTATCGTACCAGCACCGACTCGTCAAGCAACAGTTGAGATGAAACGAGCGACATGCAAAAAATAAATAAATAAAATCAACTGAACATGCACAAAAGAAGATCTCTGGTCTGATGAGGACTGAGCCTTCATCCCATTTCATTGTAGCCAATATCGCTCTTGATCTGGTTTGACATATTATTGGTATTTGCAGATGACAGATTTGAGTAAAAAATACAGATTTCATATTTACCTGAGCGATTGTGAGTTTGCGGCCTATTTTGAATGTTATGCAATTAAGCAGACAAAGCTCCAAAATAATGACAAGAAACTTTCTATTGCAACATTCTCATGGGCTGCATACAAAAAACATACACTACCTAGTCCAATTCATGAACAAATTACTTAAATGAACTGGTTCCTTTTAGTGAATCATAAACATACTGCATGACTAGAATAAAGCGATTCATGAAGAAATGACTGCCTTATGAGGCAGTTTTTTTTTATAGAATTAATGAAAAAAATTAAAATTAAAAATTTAAGTGAGGTGTGGACTGTCTGGATAACTCTGAATGACAAATGATTCTTATGAACTGGTTCTTTTTAGTGAATCAAATCCAAATAGCAGGATCAGTATAATCCAATTTATGATCAAATGACACTTATGAACTGGTTCTTTTTAGTTCAATCAAAAACAAAGTGCAAGAAGTATAGTCCAATTCATTTGAAAATAATGCATTAACTGGTTATTTTAGTTAGATTTGCAGATGACAGAGCTGGGTAAAAATACAGATTTCATATTTAGCTGAGTAAATGTGAGTTTGCAGCTAATTTTGTGTGCTTCAAAATAATGACAAGAAACTTTCTCTTGCATCGTCTTCAAAGGCTGCATGCAAAAAAAAACATGAACAAATGAATCATGAACAAATGACTCATGTGAACTGGTTCACTTTAGTGAACCATAAACATACAGCGTGACTAATGTAAAGCGATTCATGAACAAATGAGTCTTATGAGGCAGTTCTTTATCGTGAATTAAAAAAATACTTTTTTGAGATGTGGACTGTCTGAATAACTCAGAATGACAAATGATTTTTATAAACAGGTTCTTTTTAGTGAAACGAGTCCAAATAGCAGGATCAGTGTCATCCACTTCATGATTCTTATGAACTGGTTCTTTTTAGTGAACTGAAAACAAAGCGTAACAAGTGTAGTCCAATTCATTAACAAATTACTGTTATGAACTGACTCTTTTAGTGAATTTAAAACCATACAGAGCTACCAGTTTACACTAAACGCAGATAAAAGCTAGGGATTTACTTACAGTCTTTACAATGACAGGAACTGTATAAAGGTCAGATCACGCATTTTTACGACTTCTGTGGAGTTTTTGTTTACTGAAAGTTGTTTTTTTCTGAAAGATGTTTCATCAGCTGAACAATAAGTATGCTGTTATACAACGTCTTTACAATGACAGGAACTGTATAAAGGTCAGATCACGCATTTTTATGACTTCTGTGGAGTTTTTGTTTACTGAAAGTTGTTTTTTTTCTGAAAGATGTTTCATCAGCTGAACAATAAGTATGCTGTTATACAACAGTCCATTGAACACACTGTACTTCTACCCCTAACAGTCTCATTTTCATTCCTGTCAAACATGTAAAATATGGCACGACCCTGAAGGTCTGTTCCAAAACAAATGAATTCTTTAGCTGGCTCTTTTAAAGAACAGTTCAAAAAGATGAGTTACTGGTTTGCGTCAGTCTGAAAAACACTGTGCTGTATAATTTACAGCATTAGCAGAGAGGAGACTTCTTTCATATGTAAACAAACTGCACATTACAAATGAAATGTACTCAGATGAACTGGAATCAAATCAAAGCAATTTAAACTAATTTAAAACGGAAATTTGCATCGATATCCAGTCCTTGCAGATAAAATATACTCATCAAATACAGAGGTGGATCAAAGGCGAATAGTGAAAAACACTGTGCAGCAACTAGGGACATTCATAAAACATGTCCATCTTTAATGCTTAGACTTTGAGCCTGCATTTCAAAAATAACAGCCAGCGTAAAAATTCAAGACCATTTCATCCAAACCATAGATTGGAGTCGGCCTGTTAGCATCTGTTTAATCTCGCTGATGATAGCTGTCTTACCTTGTATTTATGGGACCTTATCTGTAGATGTATTATCTGAAGCACAGATGGTGTGTGTGTGCGTGTGTGGTGGGGGGTTGGGGGGATGTGGGTCACAACAAATGGGAAGGAAATGTAGTAATTGGCTATGCTTCAGCAGAGGGGACAGAATACCTGCTAGAGTTGACTATGGGCAAAGGCTAAATGAGATTAGGATGTGCCATGTGGTATCTGTGGAGAGGAGACTCAATATACTTGAGCATTTTAGCCTTTAACTGAACCCTAAAGCATGCATTCATGTTATCTAAAATATATATATATAGCGTATACATAGTGTTCAGGCAAAATAACACATTGAGATTTTTGTGTCCATCTAGATGACTAAAGGCTCTCAGTTCACAAATATTTGACTCACTTTCACAATGTCCCGAACACTGTGTTCTTTAGAAGAACCAGAGAACTAGAAGCAGCATATTTTAGAAAGAGGAATTCCCAGTGACAACATTTACCCAGTGATTAGTTGCTATGCAGAATAAAAGGAACAAGGATTTTCAAATAACATTTAGGATATTCCCATTACTCTGCAACTCTATTTACTCTTTTACTCTAAATTGTTTCAAAATTATATAGTTAAACTATCTTATTTTATGCATTACTATTGTGATTTGAACTTTAATACTTAGTGATTTGAACGAACACCTAAGTAGGTATATTAAAATTATACCTGCAGATATAAAAATTATTATTTAATTATTTATTATTATTTTGATACCATAGCAAATATTAAAATA